AGCTAAGATAGCATCACTCAAGTACAAAATCCCTGAACATTTATCCCTACACACTTTTGTTGCTGATGTTCCAAATTACACATTTTTGTATTATGTTCCCATTAATTTTTGTAGTTAATATTTTGTCTTTTAATGTTTATACTAGAGAGCACAAATATTACAATGTTAGAGCATTTTATAGCTATATATTTACCTTCACTATTGAGATTTATTTATTTTGGCAGCACTGGTGTTTAAACTCAGGACCTTGTGCTGGCTAGGCAAGTACTCTACCATTTGAATCACACCCCCAGCCCTTTTTTGCTTTAGTTTTGTTTTTCAGATCAGGTCTCCTCACACTTTTGCTTGGGTTGGCTTAGACAATTTTGCTGAATAGCTGAGCATTATCCTTGGTTGGTGGGTTTTTTTTCTTCTAGCACCTTGAATATATCGTTTCATCTCACTCTCTGCATACTCTCTCCTAGCCTGTAAGGTTTTTGTTGAGAAATCTGCCATAGTCCTACGGAGGCTCTTTTGTATGTGAGAAATCATTTCTCTTTTGGTGTTTTCAAATTTTTCCCTTACCTTTGGAATTCTGACAATTTGACTAGAATGGTGTTGGTATGGACCAATTTGGATTCATCCTGTTTTGTAGACTTTGGGCTTCATGCATCTGTATGCCTATTTCTATCTTCAAATATGGGAAATGTTTAGCCATTATTTAATATAGCCTTTCTGTTCCTTCCATTGCTTATATTTGCTCCTTTTGATGTAGTCATATAATTCCCATAGGCCCTATTCACTCTTTGTCATTTTTCTTTTGTTCCTCTGACTTAATATTTTAAATGATCTATCTTTGAGTTGCCTGATTTAATTCTTCTGCTTGATCATGTCTGCTGCTGAACTTCTTCAGTGATTTTTTCGGTTCAATTATTGTACTCTTCAGCTGCAGCATTTATTTGGCTCTTATTTTTAAAAATCATTTCTATCTCTTTGTAAATATTCTCAATTTGCTCATGTATTGACTTCTTGATTTTATTTGGTTACATACTAGTGTTTTCTTTTCTTTCCTTTTTCTTTTTTGACACAGGGTCTTGTTATGCAGTACTGGTTGGTCTTATGATCCTCTGCCTCAGTCTTCCAAGGGCTGGGATTATCAGTGATAACCAAGGCTCATCAGTGTTTTCTTGAAACTTACTGAGCTTTTAAATGATGATTAATTTGAATTCTTTTCCAAGAAATTCATAAGTCTCCATTTCTTATGAGTTGGTTACTTATCTTCTTTGTGTCATTTAAAATTTTTTTCCATGTTCCTTACATACTGGTTCTTCCTAATTTGAAGGGAAATATGTTCTAAGATTCCCTGCCCCCTCCAGGTGGATGCTTGGGACCATGGATAGTATTGAACTCTCTCTCTATGTTTTTATCCTCTATGCAGGTATCGATGATAAAATTTAATTTATAAATTAGACACAGAAAGAAATAACCAGCAATAATAAACTACAACAATTACAACAATATAACAGAAGTTGTATGAATGTGATCTCTCAAAACATAATTTTTGATTCTGAGAGCCCCTGGGTTCTTCACTTTGTACACTACTCCTGCTTTCTCATATGCCTGATACTACTGCCACATAGAACCACAGTTGATTTGTCCTTCAATGTTTTATGTCGTTTCCTCCTCTGCATTTTTATGAACGTAAACTCTATTGAGCATCTTCTTCCAGAACAGCCTGGTTTTGCTGTAACTGAAGATTTGGATGGTAGCCTATCTCTCTTTGGTCAATCTTCAATTCTTCCAGAAAGGTAGCAGATTTTTCGGTGGCAGACAAAGCCCCTCAAGTAATTTGGTATCTTTTAACCTAAATCCATTTCCTAATCTGTGTTTTAAGTCAACAGCTTGGTGTCACTTGTTTCAGGGCATTCCTTGTCAAAGTCTTTATACAGGCTTAAAGCTTGCTGGAGCAATATGCTGTTATTGATTGGAATGTGTTTCAGTTCACGTCTTTCATTCATAAATGTAGTGCTTTTTCTATCTTAACTAAGCACTTAGCATACACTGTGGCCAGAGCTTTTACAGTTTCAGATAGATTTGTTTGCACTGTGGATTCTACCAATCTTAGTATATGATTTTCTTTCCTTAAGTTAATAACTTTTACCTTTTTCTTAAAGGGAGCACTTCAAGGCTTTCCTTCGGCATATCTACTCTTGTGCTTTGGGGTCATTAAGTAAAATATGGATTACTTGAGTGCAAGCACGGTGATGCCTTGACAGTCAATCTGATTAGATGGCTGAGTGGGTAGTATAGATATGCTGAACAAAGGGATGATCTGGCACACGATCTTATCATGCTGTCAGAATGGAATGTGATTTAAAAATTATTTCTGAAATTTTTCCATTTAATATTTTTGTACCATAGTTGATGGTAACTGAAATCTCAGAAAGTTAACAATGGATAAGGAGATATTACTGTATGGTCATACTGGTGTCTATGCATTTGAAGAAATCTCACAGAATAGTATTTGCCATTGGAGGTGCTCATCCTTTTACTTTTTAAAAAATTATTCTTGTGCTGTGTTATTCCCCTTTTCCTTTGTTCCTAAGTATCCCAGGCACCTAGGCTCTACTGGTCCTTCTGTATTCTGTGTGAGCCAAAATAGAAGCCAGCTCTTTGGGGAATCACACTGAAAGACAGGGTACAAGCTTCAATTCATTTCTCTCCCCTCTTGGAAGAAAAGCCTCAGTTCTGAATCTTTTCCTGGATTTGCACAACACTGCCAACTCTAGGAGAGTAAGCACTCCTTTTCCCTTGTTCTTAATTGTCCCATAAGTCTTGTGCTCCACTAGTCTTTCTGTACTGGTGTGAGGTTAAGACAGAAACTGGCTCATTAGGGAGTACACCAAAAGGCTAGGAGACCAGATGGCCAAGTGCATGTTCCATGCTTTCCTTGTACACCACAGAAGAAATCACAGTAGATTTTCTTGGCCTTTAGCTAAGCTGGTGTGGGGAGGGGCTGACATAAGCAAAGTGAATTTCCTCCTCTTACAACAGTATAAACTTTTTCAGCTTTGTGCTTATCTGGGGAGCTACAACTTCTTCACTGGATTCTGGACTTCTTATAAACATACTTTTATGTGAATATTACCTCAATGTTTCTGTGAGAAAATGAGGATTTGGACTTCTGATGCATCGAATTTTACCAATGATCATATCCGGTTGTTTATTTTTTCTATATTTTTCAAATTTTCTATTATTACAAACATTATTTGAGAATTCAGAAAAACACTTAAAGCAACAGTACATAGCATTAACTTTTATAAAAAATAAACTTTAAAATCATTTATTAAGTTAACAGACTGAACCATACTAAAATTTAACAAGTTAATATAAGGACATGCACTGGAAGATTTCTAGTTTTAGTTTCAGCAGTGCAATATTTTTAAATGTCCTAGCAATGCTGGAAACACACCACTCAAGGGCAACTGAACAAAAATTCTAACTGTAGCAATAAAATGGTAATAATCCTGTTACAGAATCAATAGTAAAGTCACAAACTTTCTTTACAGGTGTAATAATAGGCAGACTTCTAAGATTTGTGGAAGCCAATTAATCTCCCTTTATAGATGAGAAAACTGAAGTGACTGTCTAAGATTGTAACTAGTTAAGGCAAAGCCAAGTACAGAACTCAGGATCTCACTCACAATGTTGTGCATATTCTCCTTTTTGACAGTACTGAGATTTGAACTCATGGCCTTGGGTTTGCTAGACACATTCCCAGCCCTTTTGGCTTTAGTTTTCAGGAAAGGTCTCATGTGTTTTGCTCTAGGCCAGCCTCAGACTGATACTCTCCTACTTATAGCCTCCTGCATAGCTGGAATCATAGGCCAGTAGTACCACATCTGGCTTATTGACTGAGACAGGGATCTTACTAACTTTTTGCTTGAGCTAGCCTTGAACCATGATCCTTCTGATTGCTGCCTCCCAAGTAGCTGGGATTACAGAAGTGAGCCATTGTGCCTGGCTGTTTCTTATAATTAAAAAATGTGTTTGAAAATACTAACTTTAAAAAAACAGAAAAACAATTGTCAACTCAAGAGCACTTTCAAATATATCATGCTAAAATTAGATTGTAGACCATGTGGAGAAGCCAAGGAAATTGCATATAGCTTTCACATTGCTCAGTATTTTTTTAGACTAGATTTGAAAGGTTTTTATTATATTATGAAAAGCAAAAGCGATGTAGAAATGCATTAAGCAAAATTCAATATTTAAGCCTCAAAAAGATTCCATTCTTTTGAATAAAGGAATATCACAGAGTAGGTAACCTTTTCAGATCAGCTTCTTTCATTTAGCAACACATTGCTCATTATTGTTTCAAATGGTAAAAGGGAATAGAGAGAACAACTAGGTACCAACACTGGATACAACCTGCTAAGCTGTGGCCTCATGTTATAGGTGATGAGACCAGAGATTTGGGAGCAAGGATGGGGAACAATGCTTGTTTGGAGTACCACCTGCTTCCTTTCCACCAAGTCCTATCACTTGAATCCACTATTCAAGTGAGGGTCTGACATAAAAAAAGTACAAGGAATAATGAGTATTTATAAGCAGAAGTGAGTGAAAAGGAGTGAGAAAAAGGAAAATTACAAATGACTACAATAATGAATATCAGGAAGTTTATGAAGAAATGCAATAGAGTACCCCAAATTTATCCATGGCCTATATAAACAGAGCACTGCTGTACAAGTACTTAGTAGTAAGGTGTCAAACACCAAAGATAAGAAGTATTTTCAGAAAATAAGCTGTGTCAAAGTCCTAATACAAATAATTAATACAAAGGAAGATAAAATGAACAACCAAAAAGTAAAAAATCTTTTTATTTAAAAAGAATAGATAAAGAATAACAATTAAAAGAGCATTATAATGTTAGCAAAACAATTACATAATTTTTATGCTCATTCACTTCCAGAAAACCTCTCCTAATAACAACAAATACAGCTGGGTTTGCTGGTACACACCTGTAATTCCAATGCTTAGGAGGCTGAGGCAGGAGGATTGAGAGTTAGAGCTTGACCTGGGCTACACAGTTCACGGCCAGCCTGTCTGAAAAACAAACAAACAATCAAATAAACACAGAATCTGATTACTCATCACTTCTACTGCTCACACCACAGTTCAAGGCATCAGCATCCTCTCCTGTGTCTGGATTACTGCAACAGCCTCCTGGACTGTCATGGACATTGCTTCTAACCTTGTCAAGCTACAAACCATTACCAACACAGTACCCAGAATGAACCTTTTGAAACATCAGACCACACCATTCCTTAGCTCAAAACCCTTGGATGGCTCCTCATTTTAGAGTAAAAGGCAAAGTCCTTACAAGAGCCTAATAAGGGGCTTACAAGTTCCCACACCCTCTTCCCCTTATTCTCCTCTAAGTCTTACTGCTTTTTGTGCTATCTCTTAAAAATGCCTGTCAGGCTCCCACTGCAGACCATGGCGCCTACTGCTACTTCATCTCGAGTCAATCCCTAGCAGACAGATACATGAATTGGTCTCTCCTGTCCTTCAAAAACCACTTCTGCAGTTGAGACCTTCCTTAATGTCCTATTTTGACAGTAGTGCTCCTTCTACTTCTACCAATTCTATCTTCCTTTGCTGGGTTTTTTCTTCACAGCATATATTACCAACTGACATACTATGTATTTTACCAGTTTCTAGAAGAGGACCTGACAATCAATAAATAACCTGTTGAATAATATAGTCACCTTAGTTCACCTAAGGTAACTAAGCTTTCAGAACAGTTTTCAGTTATATTATATACTAGGAATCCCTCTAAAATAACACATTTGTCCAGAAAATGGAAATTTCTTTTTCTCATAATCTGCGATTTGTACTTCTCTTTTCTTTTTTGAGATGTTGCCCAGGCTGGTCTCAAAGTCCTAGGCTCAAGAAATTCTTCGGTCTCGGCTTCTGAATCATTTAGATTACAAATATATGTCACCATGCCCAGACTGTAATTAACTTTTAACCATAATTACTGAAAAAACATACTTTATGATATCTTGTTTTCATTTTAGCATAACAATTTCCGTATTACGGTTTATAACACTCTCAGAAAAAACTACAACTGTAGACTTAGTAGGTCAGTCAGGCAATTCTTTGAAAGCAACATTAACCATCTATGTGCCTAAGAAATATTCCTCAAGGTCCAACTGCAGAGGGCTAAAACTTATTACCATTTTCTCCGATTCTAGTTAGATTATTTAATGCCACTGAGACTCAAAGCTCCAGAAGCCTTGGGCATGATGGCCTCGTTCTTTCTTCTGTAACCCAGAGCTGGGGGACTTCCTTTATCTGCTCATCTGAAGGATCCAAAACTATTTCTTTGATGTGACAAGGATGTGTGGAAAAATGCAAAATGTAGTCACTGTAAATTATATTTAAATTGTACAGCTAAGTGTAATTAGCTATGAAAACAAGGAGGACAAAAGAACCTAGTTCTTTAAAAAAGGTACTCATGAGAAGGTTAAAACCTTTCTCAATGCCAAAAAAGAGATAATACAATGTGGTATTTTTTTCCTTTCCTAAATCAATGAAAGCTAAAGTAATCACCATAATTACATAAAGTTCTTGCAGGCCATTTCTATTATTCTTAGCCTATGCCCAATTTTAAGTGGTTTTTTTTTTTTTTTTTGGCTCTACTGCGGTTTGAACTCAGGGCCTACACCTTGAGCCACTCCACCAGCCCTTTTTCGTGATGGGTTTTTCGAGAGGGTCTCACAAACTATTTGCTCAGGTTGGCTTCAAACTGCAATCCTCCTGATCTCTGCCTCCTGAGTAGCTAGGACTATAGGCGTGAGCAATCAGCGCCTGGTCAATTTTACCGTGTGTTTTACAGACACACACAGCATTTGCTAATAACATTTCCCCCCCTCAAAAATGTCAATGAAAAGTCCTAACAAATCAAACAAAAACGAACACTAGAAAATGTTACCTAGTAGAACTTTCTGCAACAGATAGAAACGGTCTCTTCTATTCTATGCTTGTATACTGTAGAAGCCACTAACCACCTGCGACTATAGAGAACTTGAATTGTGGTAGTGGCTCGCTAGTGGCTACCATATTGGACAGCACAACATTAGAGCCCAGAACTAAGTTCCTGGCCGGAAGTAGTGTGTCTTATTAGTTTTATTAAAATCTATTAACTAAAGTTATTTCTCAGAATTTATTAGTTCCATCTAAGAATTGCCCTCATCCCAAATCCCAAAAGTAAAAGATACATTTAAATACAATTAATGTTTAAAATTGCTATTTAACATGCTATCACAAAATAACTTTAACGATAATAACAAGAAAATTGAGTTGAGTCTTAGAAATGGTCAAAAAATTTTGCTTCCTCCTTTTCTCTTACCATTCAGATCAACTTAGTAAGTCCTCTTGGCTCTGTAATTCCAAATCTGTCCACTTCTTTCGATCTCTACGGTCTCCACCATGGGCAAAGCTACTTGCCTACATTAATCCAATAGCTTCCCAATTTGCTCCTTGATTGTCCTCTGGCTCCTTCTTACTCATTATACAGCTACCAGAGAGATTATCTTAAAATGCAAATTAGATTACATTGCTCTTGTCCCTAAAATTTTTGTCAATGACTTTTATTATTGGAATACAAACCAAACTTTATTGCAGAAGCTCACATAACCCATTGCTTCCTTCCTTTACCTATCAGAGCTCATCATGACTCGACTCAAACACTCATTTGCGATGGTCCTGTCACTCTTTCCTACTGTTCCTACAGTCACAAAACTCATCTGGTTTAAGGCCTTGGTGTTTACTGTTTCTTGTGTTTGGAATGCTAGTTTCTTAGATATTCAGATGGGCAACTCCTGTCATTCTTAGATAGTTCAAGTGTCCTCAAAGAGGTTCTCATGGACTACTCTAACATTGCTACCTGCTCGCTATTACATAGTTCTCTTTCATTATCAGGTTTCCATTCATTTTCATAACCTGAAATAATCTTTTATTTGGTTACTGAGTTCTCTTTTTCCCCTTATAGAATATAGACTCCATGAGAACAGGGAGCTGCTTTTCACTATTTGCAAAATACTAGGCTCTCAATATTTGGAGGGAAAATAACTTCCAAATTTTCTGTAACTATCATCTGAGGTCCTATATAAATTGGTCATGTTGGGTAAATGCTTTCAGGGCTGTCTCAGGAAATAACAGTACATTAAAATGCAAATAAATGGAAATAATTTAGTTATTTCACTCAAAACCTGTTTAATGGTTTCATTGAAATCTGAAAAAACATTTTACTTTTACTAGTTTTTTTTTCACTTTTACATTCAATCTTCATCCAATCAGTTTCTCAATAAACAAGAATGTACCTATAAACTATAGAGAGCCCTAATCTTTCTCATAGCTGCCCTCTCAAGAAATTAGTTTCTTTAGCCTCTCTTCTCAATGACCTTGAGGCTATCCCTAGGAAACCAGGTTCATATGTCAATTTTAAGGTAAGGAGTCTGTTGGGAATGCAGTGTCACTTGTCATCTCTTTAGGCAACTACTACTTGGGCAGTATACATTGGTCAGAGCCCCAACATATTTTATTTTTTCTGTAAATGGGCTTATTTTTTCTGTAAATGAAGCAAATAAAAAAGTAAGCCCCCAAAAGTGAAATGCTGTTCCAAAGTATATATTACCTTTGACAGGAAAAATATTTCAAGAAAAGTAAGGCTGAAGGATGTTAGCAATAACAAGGCATTTCCTACCATCTTAGATAGTAATCTGATGTGTCCAAAGAACTTACAGCTTATTTTTAAACTATATTTTTAAAAGGCCTTATTAGTTATTGTGTCTTGGTAGACTGATTTTGAGGAAACCATATAAAAGTATGACTTCTTCACTGTGTTTGCCAAATTAACGAGACCAAATCTAGACCCTTTATTATAAGAGTGCTATATTTTGGATCTAGATTGTCCTCCAAAGGCCTATGTGTTAAAGGTTTGGTCCATAGTCCAAACACAATTGGAAGGTGGTTAAAAATTCAAGAAGTAAGGCCTACTGGGAAGTTTTAGGTCACTGGGGGTGTACCCTCCAAGGGAACTGTGGGTCTCAGTTCTCTTCTTCTTTCTCCTTCACATACTGAACATGAGGCAAGCAGCTTTTTGCTTTACTATGTGTTCCTTGCCTTGATCTACTATCTTGCCATAGGCCCCAAAGTAATGGAACCAATCAACCATGGACCAAAACTTCCAAAACTGAGAGTCAAAACAAACCTTTTCTACTTATATAAGTTGATTTATCTAGGTATTTAGTATAGCAAAGGAATACTGACTAACACAGAGGTCACAGAACTAGACACAATCATGAAATGGTCAATCTACATATCTATAGGATTAACTATAATCCAGAATTTAAAAAAGAAAAAGCAACCTCATATAAAATATCTCTGGCCTAGTACAAATTGATTCTTTTAAAAAAGTACTGCCCCAATTAGTATTTCATTCAAGAAAAGCTTATGTAAAATATTTATGCAGTGCGGAAAACATAAATTAGATGATGACGTATCCAGGGCTACTATTAAAGTACTAACTGCAGTTGCCTGGTATGCATGAGGCCTGGGGTTTGATCCTCAGCACACATGCATGCACACGCATGCACACACACACACACACAGATAGAGAAAAGGAGAAGAAGAAAGAGAATAAGTCTTTTTAGTGAGTCTTATTACATATTATAAATCTTATTGACCAGGAACCCTCATTTTCCCTAAGAACCCTGAAATACTATATAGCTTTTCAACAGTCAGTATTCAATCTGATGACCAGATTCAAAACTATAAATGCATTTCTAAATTTGTTGTTTTGAATGGAGTATAATTTTTTTTTGCAGTGCTAGGCAAATGCTCTACCACTGAGCTATACCCTAAAATTTCTTTTAGCAAAATTGCAGAATAATTTAAAGCTATAATACAATTTAATGAGTACTTACTATATTTCTGCTCTATTTATCAAATACAGAGGGGATTTCTGAAACCTGAAGGAATGTGTTTTACCTTCTAGAAGGCAATTTTATGCCTCTTTGATTATCATTTGTCCTTGCTAACACCTAATCACACTTACAGTACATGTGGATGCTTAATCCAAATCAGGCCAAACAAAATGTCAATTATCCTCTCAAAAGATCAATATGCTTGTAAATCTCCTACAATTCAAGGTCATGGGGTTAATTTTGGTCATGGGTTTAATTTTTTTCCTGAGGGTCTGAAAATAACTGCAACAAAATAAAACAATAGTCTGGATCGTATGAACTGTATAAAACAAATCAGCACAAAACCTGGTAGCAGAATGTTTATGATCTAGTATGATTCATCCTCTCCTTTACTTATAAAATGGCAGAAACCATAAAGCAAAAACACTGCGACTTTAGAAAGAAGAATGTCAAACATTCATTCTTCTTATTAGCTATTAAATTTTGTGGCTTGTAAGACCAAAAAAACAAAAAAACTACTAAATGAAGTTGTTATACACTGTTGTGGGTCTTCAAATGAATCTGAAGTCTGTAGTTTGTGATTGTAGAATAATCACAAGAGCTATTAAAGAAATAACAGGACTTACCAAAATTATTAAACAACTTGGCTTAAAACATTTTAAAATTTGTTAAAACTTAAAGGAAAGTAATCTCATTTATATTTTTAACATTTGAATTAATAAATCCAATATTACCAGAGTATCTTGACATTTTAAAAAATAGACATTAACTTATTTTCAAATGTATAAACATATGTTGTAAAAATTGGAAATATCATTAGTACAAATAAGATACATAATTACACTGCTCTTTAATTTCAGACATACATAACGAATGTGCTACCAAAGCAGCACAATGTGCAGCTCCATCACTACAACAGATGACAAGAAAACCTTAAAACAGGTGACAGACTGCTGTTATTTGTATAGAACTGATAGCAGACTACAAGGGCAGGCATAGATGGCCTTACACAAAGGAAGATAAGGAAGCTAATTAAAGTGGTAGGGGTGAGGAAGAGGCGAGAACTGACCAAAGGGAAGATGTGATATACTACTATTTCATCCATCCATCCAAACATTACAATACCTAAAAGAAACTAGGCACTATCTGAGGTTCATTCTTACCAAAGGAACACATGTTTTGGATGGTTATACAGATTAGCTATCTGATTTCAGAACAGAAAAATCTAATTGCTGCTCACTACCTTACTCCTAATTTTGGTCTCATCGGTAAGTTGGTCACCAACCTCTATGTCAGTTGGTCCTCAAGTCATACATTCAATTCTGAGAAATAGTCTCCAACCTGATTAAGACTATTTTTTCGCTTTAACAGCCTCTCTTGCCAAATAAAATCAAAGTAAGGAAGTAGAACGATTTGATGTGAAAAGCTGGGGAA